TAGTGTTTTTGCCTTTACCTGTGGAAAATACAAAACTGGTACTTTTTTTTTTCTTTCTCTAGTTTGGTGCTCTGGTTGTCAGATATTGGAAGGCAGTAGGACAGAACATACTCTCCGTGGTTTTATATCCGTTCTGGGGTGCAGTGATTAACGTTGAACTTTGGTTCCTGTAACTCTTGTGTGTGTCGATAGAGTTAAGCTGGAGCTTTGCTTTGAAGGATAAATAAAGCACAGCCTCTCAACTGGACATAAATGGATCTAAAGACAGCAGTATTTAACGCAGCTCGGGATGGCAAACTCCGGCTTCTCACCAAGTTGTTGGCAAGCAAATCCAAAGAGGAGGTTTCCTCCTTGATCTCTGAAAAAACAAATGGGGCCACGCCACTCTTGATGGCTGCCAGGTACGGGCACCTTGACATGGTGGAATTCCTCCTTGAGCAGTGCAGTGCCTCCATAGAAGTAGGAGGCTCCGTCAATTTTGATGGTGAAACCATTGAGGGGGCTCCCCCTTTATGGGCTGCTTCTGCAGCAGGACATCTGAAGGTGGTCCAGTCTTTGTTAAATCATGGAGCGTCTGTCAACAACACGACTTTAACCAATTCAACTCCTCTTCGAGCTGCATGTTTTGATGGCCATTTGGAAATAGTGAAGTACCTTGTAGAACACAAAGCTGATTTGGAAGTGTCAAATCGACATGGACATACATGCTTGATGATTTCATGCTACAAAGGGCATAAAGAGATTGCTCAGTATTTACTTGAAAAAGGGGCAGATGTTAACAGAAAAAGTGTTAAAGGTGAGTTCAGCTTCTTTGTTTTTATTTTTTAACTGTCTACCACTTATTTTCATGAAGTTTGATACGTGATTATAAGCTTTGTTGTTGAGTAGACCAACATTGACAGAATCTAATTAATCTAATTAAAATAGATAAGCTAACCCTCCAGTATAACCTTGTTGAGTGTTTTTCTGATATTTGGTAATACATTGAACAAATGTGATAAAAAGACCACTGTAGCTATGTTAACCAGCATTTTCTCAATTTTATTTGGAGTAACAACTTCCAGTTTCTGGGAAATGGGTTCCCCAAAGTTAGAGAGCATGTTAGTTGTAGTTGATCTGACTTTAGGTTTCTATTTAATCTACTCGGGAATATAGTTAAATGTTAATACATTTTTCTTAGCCTTTTTTTTTT